TTTTAGGCAAGCCTGCTTCCATTAAAGTCCGCAGGCCTTGTATGTGCTTTGTACGGTCACAGCAGCGATTTCTTCCCAGGGCTAGGAGGGGGACTTTCCCCTCTGGCCTAACATGCTGAGTCCTTGTCTCCAGGGAACACTGCAATGTGTCTGTTGTCAAGGTCCCTAATGGTACAGGACTGCCTCCTCTTCCCTTCTCACTCAGAACTAGTTTCTGTCTGTTGGGTCCCATCAAAGGGTCTGGGCCTTTTTTCCAGTTGTAAGACTCTCAGCAATGATGCCAAGATGCCCCTTGGCCATTGGTCCTCTACAGCTGCCTCAGCTCAAAGCACCAGGGAGTCAGCGTCCCTGTGAGTCAGGCTTTGCAGTAGACAATCCACTCCCTAGGGCTCTGCCTGCTTCTGTGGGTGCTGACTGACTTCCCTGAGAAATGCTCTGCTGGGCCAGGTGCAGTGGCTCATCCTAGCACTGTGGGAGGCTGAGACAGGAGGATCACTGGAGGCCAGGAGTTCAAGACTAGCCTGGGCAACAAAGCAAGACCCCATCTCTAGAAAAAAAATAGAAAAAAAGAAATGCCTTTCTGGCTTTGAAAATTAATTGCTCCTCTTAGAAACTGGAAGAAAGGGAGAAAAAGCAGCTTCTGATTGTATTTTCTTCTCAGAAATCCACAAACTCCAATCTGGCCAGAAACACAAAGTGCCAGAGTCCAAGCTGGAGAGTGGGCACCTGAGGGGGCACCGCTCAGCCTGGCAGTGGTGGCTGCCTGTCAGATTGACAGCTGTTTTTAGACCTCACCCCAAGGGCCACCAGCCCCCCACCTCAGGGAGCCCTCTCTCCTGACCCCCTTTCCGTACTTTTCAGATACAGGGTGTGTTGGCTTTCCTTTCGCGCCTCCAGCTCCAGAGGCCCTGCCCCAGTGGTGCTGCTCTGGATCAAGGCCTCGCTAAATTCCCAGCTCCCTGGTTTGCAAAGCAAACTTCAGCCTTTTACTATTTACCTTGGCAAGTCCAGGACCGGATTGATGATCTGTAAAGTGGATTTGTTATTTGGCTGTTTGCTTTGGCAGCTCTTGAAAGTGCTTTGCTGATTACAGTCCCAGATGTCATTGCATACATTACCCCGCTCTATAACGGGGCTTTGAACACTTTAATTTGAACTACAAATACTGTTAAGATTTTGCACCTCTTCTGCCTTTAGTTCTTGGATATTAAACATCAGAACAGACAGCCTGCATTCTCTTGGGCTTCTTTCCCCTGGTCTTTGTTAGCCTCCTCCCACAGACAGCTTTGAGCTTTCTTCCTATTCTCTGTGGGTCTTTCTAGAAATTTTACCCACCTCTACCCAGGTCTAGCTCAGCTACGCTGGCAGCAGCCTTGCCGGTTTTTACGTAACAAACAACGTGACTTTCTAGTTTGGAAGGTGCACTGCGTTCATGCCAAGCCTGGCTTCCCCACAGTCACAATCATTTGTACTTTGCACTAGGGCTCCGTTTCATTCATCCACAGAGGTCCTGTATCCATTTTTTGTTTGTCTTAATGTTACTGACACCTTTCTTTGGGGAAAGCTAGATTTGGGAGCATGAATGTGTCATGTCATTTTGCCTAGAGAGGAAAAGCGTTTTGCCCAAGGTTACACAGGAGAGGCAGCAGCAGAACTTTATCCTTTCCAGCCAAGTGCGGTGGCTCACACCTGTGATCCCAGCAATTTGGGAGGCTGAGGCGGGCGATCACCTGAGGTCAGGAGTTTGAGACCAGCCTTACCAACATGGTGAAACCCCATCTCTACTAAAAATACAAAAATTAGCCAGGCAGGGTGGTACGTGCCTGTGGTCCCAGCTACTTGGGAGGCTGAGGCAGGAGGATTGCCTGAACCTGGGAGGCGGAGGTTGCAGTGAGCCAAGATCACCCGCTGCACTCCAGCCTGGGCAACAGAGTGAGACTCCGTCTCAAAAAAAAAGAACTTTATCCTTTCCAAACTCCAAGCCCGGATTTCTCCCCAGGATCCTGTTTTTATACTTTATTTAAAATCGCCTCACCTGAGTGGAACAGGGACGTGAGCCCTGACTATGTATAAATAGAGGCGGTGGCAGATTCACATACCTTGGGGAGTTAGGGGTGGAGAGTACTGGTGTTCCTGGCTAATGTGGGGGTCTGTGATTCAGTGTTCTCCCAGGTCAGCGCTTCTTCCTATTGTAAATAAACCATTAGCTGGGGGCCTCACCTCAGGAAGCAATTTAAGGCCCAAGGGAGGTGGCCAAAGAAGCCAGCTTGCAGCCTCCAGGTGGAGGCTTGGCTTTGCCCACAACCTTGGCCCCAGGTCTTCCTCTTGGAGCAACAAAACGCTCACAGGGATCCTCCTGCCAAGTTCCTGCCAGGCTTCCCTCACCTTTGATTTGCCAAACTCTGTGTGAACGGCCTCTGCGTCTGTTACCCTCCCAAGAAAATTACAGTTTCTAGTACACCTAAATGAAATATTGGTGGGATTGTTTTTAGTATTGTATTTTTTTTCCTTTTTCTTTTTGCGTTCACGCTTAAAGATCATTTTTTGGTCTACTCCCTCTCCTCTAGCCTTAAAGTGTCCACTGCGTTCTTGGCTGAAATGTTTCAGCATTTCTGAAGACGTTAGAGACAGAGAAAGCCTCCTTGGTATGGAGAATTTGTGGCGTGCCTATTCCCACACCAGTCCTGCAAGGAAGATAGTTCTTTTCTTTCTTTCTTTCTTTCTTTTTTTGTTCAAGTAGGGAAGACATTCTGAGAGATAAAATTCTGATGCACAGTAAGATATTGTTTTGCATCTGCATCCTTTTTTTTTTTTTTTTTTTAGACAAGATCTTGTTCTGTTGCCCAGGCTGGAGTGCAGTGGCATAATCTTGGCTCACTGCAACCTCTGCTTCCAGGGTTCAAGCAATTCTCCTGCCTCAGCCTCATGAGTAGCTGAGATTACAGGCACACGACACCATGCCCAGCTAATTTTTGTATTTTTAGTAGAGATGGGGTTTTACCATGTTAGCCAGGCTGGTCTCAACTGGCCTCAAGTGATCCACCTGCCTTGGCCTCCCAAAGTGCTGGGATTACAGGCATGAGCCACTGTGCCCAGCTGGAAGATAGTTCTATCCCATTTTATAGTTGAGGAAAGCAAGGCTTGGTGAGGTAAAGCACCCTGCCCAGTAGCCCACAGATCTGGGGCCATTGTTAGTCTGGGTTCTGACTTAGGCACTGTAGTGTTCCTTCTGTGTTGTGAGCACCTCAAAGGTAGGTCGAATGTCACGCCTAATGTTGTACCTCTGTGACTAACACTGGGCCCAGCTTATGTTAGCCCCATAAATATTTGTTGGTTGAATAACCATAAATCCACTCAAGTGTTTCTGATTTTAAGTGACCGTGTCTTCCTTGTGGCCAGTCTCCGGCGGGGGTGGGAGGTAGGGGACAGACACTCAACTTTAAAATATTTCAGTTGAAGAAGTTAATTCGCTTTGTAAGTTTACTTTAGGAGTAGAGATTATTACAGTATTTTTGGCCACCACTCTCAAATTCTTCTAAACCTTTACTATAATAAGCAAATTCAGCAGATTAAGGACATACTTAACTGCCAAATGGTGTTCTGAACTGTGTAAAGTTACCAGAGTCGCTTTTTTTTTCCCTTATATAAAAGATTGTGTGGGTTCTGTGAACTTCTCTGCTTTTTTTAGCTCTTCCTGTTTTATTGTGTTTGAAGTATCTTTGTGGTGACCTGTTGGGATTGGATTCTTCCATATGGAAGTGTTTCTTTAACTTTTTAATCATTTCTTTTGGGAAGTAGAAGGTTAGGAGTAGCAGATGTTTTTCTGGCGTTGTTTGCTGAGGGGAGGCAGGGGCTTTTGGAGCTGTGAGTCAGGCCAAAGCCAGCCTGGAAGAAGAAGGCTGTCCCAGGGGTGGGAGGCTGCCCATCACCGTTGGATCTGGCCGAGCAGGCCCGTGTGGGAGTCATAACTCTGTGTCCTCACCCTGACTAATGCCTTTTCCATTTCCCAGGAAGAATACATTTTCCCCTGTGACACTGAGAAGTTATTTTTTTCAAAGTCCCAAGGCAAATTCTTATCAGTCCTCAAATGGGAAGCCTGTCTGGTGCCCTTACCAAGAAAAAGAAAAAAACAAAAAAGAAAGGAAAAATAGCAAATAAAATGAACCCTTCTTCCCCCCACCCGCTTCATGGCAGTCACGTCCCTCTTCATACCCCATTACCCCATTCCTCAGTGAGCCAGAGTTTAACATCTTGGTTTTGGGAATAGAATTTTTGCAAAGACCCATCTGCTTCTCCCATTTTCTCATGTTCTTTTGGACCCTATTACTCAATCAGTGACATGTGACCCCCTGGGAAGGTTGTTCTGTGGAGGTTGCAGAAACTGGCGATTGGCAGTCATCTTCCCAGCTCTCAGCTTCAACCCTGATTCTGACAGTGGCAGGTGCCCCTTGCCCTTAGTCTGTTTTACTCCCTGCCCCTAGTACCCACCTCTCCTTCATCCCAGGTCACACCGGAAAGCCAATGAAGAAAGGGTTTTGGTTCGGTGAGTGAGAGCCTCGAGGCACTGGCTCCCTTGGATCCAGAGGATGAGGATGCAATGGGAAGACCCAGGGAGCCATCTCAAGGAGCTTAAACTAGGACTTCCCTTGGCATTCTCATCCTTTCTTGACCACACCAAAGCTTTGCAGGTAAACTAGGGAATCTCAGCATGTAAAGAATGAGGAGGCTGGGCACAGTGGCTCACACCTATAATCTTTGCAGTTTTGGAGGCCAAGGCAGGTGGATCACCTGAGGTCAGGAGTTTGAGACCAGCCTAGCCAACGGGATGAAACCCCACCTCTACTAAACATACAAAAGTTAGTCGAGCATGGTAGAGTGCATATCTCTAATCCCAGCTACTTGGGAGGCTGAAGCAGGAGAATCGCTTGAACCTGGGAGGCAGAGGTTGCAGTGAGCCCAGATCGTGCCACTGCACTCCAACCTGGGCAACAGAGCAAGACCCTATCTAAAAAAAAAAAAAAAGACAGATGAATGCAAGAGTCAGTAAAAGAGACTACAAAGTAGTGACCAGAAAGATGGAAGGAAAACCAGGTGAGTGTGCTGTCCTTAAAGCTAATAGAGAGAGGGATCAGCTATGTCAAAAGCACACTTGACCTGCTGAAAGATGAGGTCAGATGATAGCTGAGAAATGGCTGTGGGATTCAATAACGTGGAGGTCTCTGCATTAATTGATTTGTTGAAAAAGAAATGGGGACGTCATTAACTTTGGAAGAGCAGTTTCAGTACAGACGGCGGGGCAAAACCTCATTGGAGTGGGTTCAAAGAGACAAAGGGAGGAAAGCAATTGTAGACAGCAAGTCCAGACATCTCTTTCAAGGAGCTTTGATTAAGGGAAGGAGAGAAATGGGGCGGTAACTAGAAGAGGAAATAGGGTCAAGAAGGTCTTTCTTTTTTTCTTTTTAATGGAAGAAATACTAGCATAGTGATGGCAAGACGGGGTGGGGGCTTGTGCATAGATGGAGGGCTTGGCCTTGGTGGAAGGAAGGGAGACTGTGGATATGAAGATGCAGGGGGTGGGTGGATGCCAGGACGGGACTTGAAATCCCTTTCTGATGGCTTCCACTTTCTTGATGAAGCCATCCTCTAAGCCCCCCACTGAAAGTGAGAATGGTAGTGAACATACTGGAAGTTTGAGGGGAGAGGAGCAACAATGAAGTAATCATGTGGGAGGGCAGAAGAGGAATGCGCTCAGGAAGTAGGACTGGAGGGCGGCGTGAAAGGTCCGTCTGGGGTGAGGCATCATCAGTTGAGGCTCAGACCACTTAGCATGGTGTGCTTTCCTCCCAGCTGCGAGCTGCTGTAGGGGGGCCGGAAGCGGGTGGGAGGCTGGATTTAACAAGGTCGTGGTTTCACCAGGCAGGTATGGCCACGGGAGAAAAGGATGCAGAAGCTGAGTGTGTGTGCAAGGGACTGAGTGTGACAACTGGATGTGGTGGGAAGACAGGACATGGGGGGGCAGTGAACAGCAGGCGGGGTCAATGGATTATAGACCCTGGTGAGGTTGAAGCCTGCTTGGCATTGGGGGAGCAGAGGCAGAGAACCAGAAAGAGAAGAGGGATCTTTGATCAATGTGGGATATTTGAGATTAGGATCGTGATGGGATTTGCAGTTATTATTAATTCCATCAAAGGAAGGGCTGTGGCAGTGAGCGGCAGGGGGGAAGGAGAAGGGCGCTGGAAGGGAGGAGGGTCAGGGCCTGAGAGCTAGGCTGTTGGCAGAGTCATTGGTGTGACTGTGACCGGGTTGGTGTTGTGACACTGTTAGAGTGGCAGTGAAGCAGGAGCTGGAATCGTTAAGGAATAAGTGTGAGTGTGCTGGGGGCATGGGCTGGCCACAGGAACAGACTGTAACAAGAAGGGGCAGTGGGTGGAATAATCTTACAACACAGTCAAAGTTGGGGGTTTATCAAAGAAAGAAAAGTCTGCGTCTATAAGGAGCAAAGAGGACATCAGCTCCACCCCGGTCAGCCACCTCAGGAGAGAACTCTGGGGCAGGTGGCATCCTCAGAGGAGAGCCTGGTATTTCCCAAAATATAGCACTTTAGAATTTACAGAGAGACAGTGAACGGACACTTCCTGTTCTGTTGGATCCTTTCAGCAGCGCTTCAAGTGGAGAGGCAGATACGTTATCCCCGTTACACATGTAAAGTCACTGATGCTGGTAGAGCTGGAGCACTCGTGCAGTGACACTCAGCCAGCTGCTGATGGATTCCGGTCTTCCGACTCCAAGTCTAGTGCTCTTTCCACAGCATTGTATGGCCTACCTTTAGGAGGCCAGCAGTCCCTCTGCAGAACCATAAAATCACAGTTGATTCACAGTTGCAACTGAAAAGCACACTCAGTCCAAAGCCACAATGGTTGTTATCACGCTGCTTCCAAAACATGAGATTCAGCCCCCAAAGATGGGTTCAGGGAGTGGCAATCATCTGGCCTTTTCTCTGCGAATCCAAATGTCTTTTTTTTTTTTTTTTTTTTTTAGACAGAGTCTCACTCTGTCACCCAGGCTGGAATGCAGTGGTGCTATCTTGGCTCACTGCAACCTCTGCTTCCCGGGTTCAAGCAATTCTGCTGCCTCAGCCTCCAGAGTAGCTGGGACTACAGGTGCCTGTCACCACGCCCAGCTAATTTTTGTGTTTTTAGTAGAGATGGGGATACTCAAATATCTTAAACTTAGTAGCCAGTAGGACACCAGTGGGTATTCCTTTTCAGGGATGATTTGGATAACAATTTTTGAGTGGGGATCATAGTTTTAAGAAAGTTCCAAGGCCACAGCTTTTTAGAAACTATTGACAGAATAGTGATTATGAGATGTGGACAGACAATGGAATAAATCATGAGCTTAGGACAATGGTTTAGGGCTTGATTCTTTAGAGATGGAGTCTCTTTCGCTCAGGCTGGAGTGCAGTGGCACGATCTCGGCTCACTGCAACCCCCTCCCCCTGGGTTCAAGCGATCCTTCTGCCTCAGCCTCCTAAGTTTCTGGGACTACAGGCACACACCACCACACCTGGCTAATTTTTGTAGTTTTAGTAGAGATGGGGTTTCACTATGTTGGCTAGGCTGGTGTCGAACTCCTGACCTCAGGTGATCCCTCCACATCAGCCTCCCAAAGTTCTGGGATTGCAGGCCTGAGCCACCGTGCCCAGCCTAGGGCCTGGTTCTTAAGAATGCCATTTCCTTCTTGATCCTCAGGCCCAGTGGCTGAGGCAGTGTCACAGTCCAGGACCTCCCACCGCCAAGCACATCCTCTTTTCTTCCTCACTGGGGCAGGCGCTTACACAGGTAGAGAGCCCAAGCCCAGGGTGGCAGCCTCAGTTGCTCAGTCACGCGGCGGGCATGTGCTGATCCCCATTACAGTCCCGAGCAGAGACATGCGCCACACTACAGAAATAAACACAGTAAAGGGCTAGAGGTTTCTGTCATGCACCGTATGAAGAGATTTTCTTTTAAACGAAGGCTAGAGAGTAACTTCTTGGCCACCTTATCCTATTTTGCCAGCCTCCTGGGCCACTGAAGAGGGTTAATTCATGGAGGGGTGGCACCCTGTGCCTCTGTCATCACTCTCTGCCATGGGTTTTTATAAGCACATTGGCTAAGGCTGTTGCCGCACAGGGTGGGAACAGTAACGTTTCTAAAGGTGCCACCTGGAAGAGCAGAACGAGCCCTTCCATTGCATAGCCTGTTGTGTATGGTGCCAGAGTAGCCTCTGAATGGAGAGAATACACAGGTCTGCACCCTGTTCTCTGACCACCAGTGGTCAGGCAGACACACCGCCCCAGGCAGGAACAGAGATCCGGCCATGGTTTATAGCAACAGGGAGTGCCTCAGAATCACCTGGTGAACTTTTTAAAGATACAGATACCCTTTTGCCCCAGAAATTCTGATTGTAGTCTGGGGTGGGCCTTGCAGCTCCACACAATGGAAAGCTCACTCGTTGATGGGAGGCCCCTTGGAGAAGTACTGGTTGAGGAAGCGTTAGGCAGAGGTTTGAGCCAAACAGGGAGACGGCAAGGCAACAGACATCCCACTGCTGCTCCTCTGCCACCTCTGAGTGTGATCAGATGTCTCTCCTGACAGATTCTCCTCTCAATATTATCCTCCAGGAACTTGTGATTATCCTCTGTCTAAGTCAAAAGCAGCTTAATTCCTCTAAAAACAGTGCCAGTTGGGCATTTTGCCTGGAAAGAGAGAAGCAAATCTGTGTCAGCGTTCTTTGCTCAGTTCAGCCCTGCAGCCCCCGTGGTGACCCTAGACCACCTCCTCCCCTTTCTCTGCCTTCTGCAAAGTCCAATGCTTTGTTGGGTGCCTGGTTGGTGAAGTCAGGTCATCCCAGCAGAACTGGGGGCCTCGCTGGATGCAGGCTTGGGTAGAGTTGGCCAGAAATGTGGTTGGCAAGAAGGTCCTGAGTGGGCTGAGATGGACAAGTCAGAAGACAAGGGCCAGGAGCCTGAGGGCAGGCTGAGGATGCCAGCTAGCCCCCGACCCCAGGGAGCACTGCATCTGAGTCTAAGAGAGGCCTCATTAATACCCATAAAGAGGTAGACCATGCAAACCCCTTTTACTTAGGGGAACCTTAGTTTACCTCCCCAAATCATCTTTTGACATTAAAAAAAAAAAAAATCCCTTTGCTCTTAGAGAGCTATCCTCTTACCAGTTGCTTTTCTTTTGTGAGAGACATGGGCCTGTTCAACCAAGACTCTGGGTCTTCTTGTCAAGACTAATTTCCTTCCAGGCCCAGCTTCATCTTCATGGGGACTTTCTTCCATCTGTGCACTGATGTTAGTATCCTGTTGACATTTAAAGTCCTTGATTCTCTGGGACCAATATAGAGACATCAAAGAAGGCGGGTCCTAAGTTTTGAGGGTACCATGGAGAGCAAAGCAGATGATATCTCTGCCCCCTTGGGGCTTATGTTCTAAAAGAGGAAATAGCCAGAAGTGGCAGTAGAGTGTGTTACATGCTGTTAGGGCAGGTTTAGGACACCTGACCTAACCTAGGGGAGGATCAGAAAAGGCTTCCCAGAAGTTCCATTTAAGCTGCAGTCGAGGGATGAGCAAGGCGAAGATGGAAAGGCCGTGGGGTGAAAGGAAGGAGGTTGTTGGAGGGACTGAGGGAGGTTCATCATGGCTTCCCAAAAGGACGGGGGAAGGGAGTGGGAGAGGTGAGCCAGGGAAGCAGCAGGGCCCAGCTCATTAAGTAAGGGACAGCTGTGATGAGGAGTGGCCGTGTCACTCCAGGCCCTTGTTTGCCACCACAGACAGGTATTTTATGATTCCTGGATCTGAAATACACACACACACACACACACACACACACACACACACACACACACCCCTCACAGAAAAATAGCCACTCTGTCCCTCTCATGTGGAGGAAGCACAGGGTAATCTGGATTATAAACCATCCGCCTGGGGCAGAGCTCGCCTGCTGTAATCATCTCCCTCCGCCTCGGGATGCCACTCAGCCTCACACAGCACCAGCTCTCTGATGAAGAATAGAAGTGACAAGGGCAAAATAAAAAAAAACTCTCCAGAATGTATTCAGTAGGAAACTGAAGCTGGGAGGAACTGTTCTCTTGTTCCCGGACAACACTCGTACTCCTGCCTGCTCTCATCAGAGGAGACTCTGCTTCCGCTCTGCCTGACCAGCTGGCTGGGCAGTTCTTCAGGGGCTGTGTTTTGTGCTTGTCACTCCTACTCTGGGTCACTTTTAAGATGTGTGGACTGCTGAATCTTTAAAGGAAAGAATGAGAAAGGGAATCCCAGAGGCAGTTGATGGCAGGTGATTTGCCAAGAATGGGGAAAAAGTTGTGACAGGTTTGGGGAGCTTGAGAGGAAGAAATACAGGAGGGAAGTAGCCAGGAATCCATGGAAAAATGAAGGCAGGATGGAGGGAGGAAGGGAAGGAAGGAGAGCAGGCTGAGGCGCAGGGAACGCCTAGCTGAGAAATGTGTCATGGTGCCATTTGACACAAGCATGCGCATTTTGTGTGGCACAGCTCAGCAGCCTGGATGGTTCATCTTGATGGTTGGGCAAAGCGGAAGTGGCAGATAGGCTAGGAGGAGCAGAGGTGGGGAAGGGGGTTTAGGGCGGACTTGCTGAGGGTGTTAGAGGACCTGTGAGCCCCATATACAGGGATGGGCAGTGAAGGAGTGGCACCAGGAGGAAGCCAGTAGATTGGGATAATAGGGAGGGCTTCAGGGGTGAGCAGGCTCCTTGAGGTCAAAGAGCATGATAAGAATAAGAAGTGAGGGGAGAGACGAATAGGAAGTTTCGTGATGACTATATGGGATTTCTAAGCTTAAAGTCCTAGAAATGCCGATTGTAGACAATGCCGTGCGCCAGCTCCTTGAGTTGCTGGAGTGAAGGTGAAGGTCCTTGATGTGTAGACCGGAGGTCAGTGAATGTCAAGGCCAAGGGCATTGGCTTGGTCATGCACCTGACATCATCCTTTTAGTGTTTGGCAGGAGTGGTTGAGAAGGTGACAGCGGGTTAGGTGCCGTAATCCTTGTTGAAGTCGCGGAGTTGACTTACAAGGCCTGCAGAGTCCAGTGACAGGGATGCCCGGGTCAGATTTTGTGAGCTCTGGGCTTCTCTCCTGACTGGAAGAGTGATGTCATCCACAAAGAGCATTTGTATTCCTTTGGAGAAGTACTTCCTTTGATTGTCAGGTCATTTTAGCATGATTGAAAAGTCAAGAGAAAACTTTTTTAAATGCCTGAAAGGAATTTTTTTTTTTTTTTTTTTTTGAAACAGTCTCCTTCTGTCACCAGGCTGGAGTGCAGTG